AAACCAGCTCTTATTGAACTTTTATTGATACAAAAGCCTCAGCTTTATATTGGCAGGATGAGATAATACCAAAGACACGGCAAGTTTAAACAGGACTGTTTCGTTAGCCATATGTTGGCAACTACTAACAACTGAAGGAGACATTTTGCCATTTTCACGTATTATTCCCATCATATTATATTCCATCATGGGTTCCAATTGATATAAGCTGAAGATTTTTTTGTCTTTCAAGATCGGTTTTCTTTCTTTGCTTCATGTTTAAAGTGTGGAACTATTCACAACTGGGCAATCAGTTTATTAATTATTCTATGATCCATGGTGATCTGCAATCACGGCATTGCCGACAATGAAAAAAAGAGAGATTTTCCTATTTAAAGTGATGACTTGAGCAACAACTAATTATTGTGATTGCAATAGCAAGAACTGTTTTGCCTCATCTTTTTTACCTTGTAACATAAGAGAAAAAAAACAGGGGTTTCTGAGGGGTATTACACCACAGCTTAAAGTTTTTGTATGAAATTAATTTTTATTATACATGTACTATAAATATATATAAAAAAGACAAACAACAATTAATTGCAAAAAGTGCCGGGTGTGCGATGGTGACAGTGGTGGTGGGTTTCCCTCTGTTTGGTCTGGCTGCCGAAACACATCTCTCTATACACTCTATGCTATACAATAGATTTACAGTATATAATGTATTGTTGATATGCATTGATTGAACATACCGTTTCTTGTTAGATCAGTTCACAATCCCCTGATGAAGCAAAGCTGTGAAACGCGTAGGGATTGGACACACTGATTCTCAAATGAACATTTATTGATCTTTAACTGATATGTACAGAATGCTTTATGGGTCTATGCTCCTGATACAATGATCTTGTTTTAGGGCTTTTTGCAATTAATTGTTGTTTGTCTTTTTTATATATATTTATAGTACATGTATAATAATTTATTTTTACAAAAACTTTAAGCTGTGGTGTAATACCTCTCAGAATCCCCTGTTTTTTTTCTCTTGTGTTACAATTATCCAAATTTAAGGGGGAGAGGTTACACCGGGGGGCTAATGTGATAGCTGCTCACAACTGCATTGTGTTTTTTTTACCTTGGAGAATTTGTGAATCCACATTAATATATCTATATCGTTATCCACTTTTTAAATTAACAACCAATCATATGAAAACATGGGTGGGATCCATCCGATTTGTATGTATGAATGAGGTCTGCAGACAATGTCATTTATGGTTTTTAGAAAGTTTTATAAGCGGTGCAAAATAAACCCTTTTCTATTTCTATTTTTTTACAACATTTTGTCTGTCCCAATCTTTAAGTAACCTCTATGACTTGCTATCCTTCATTTGCAAGACATAACAGTTTTTGCGATGCCTGAAATTATACTTGCATTTTAGTGCAGACTTCTGGAAAAATAAATCAGCCAATCACAGAAGCAGGATGTAACATTTGTGGGGGCGTTTTCTACATCAACTGTGTCTATGTCATCACAGACCCTCTTCAGATTGTCAAATTGTCTCTAAATCTCTAAGATCCCAGATGCAAAACCTCCACCTGAACTGAACTTATCCGCTAACACTAGTACATTTTCTCCTCCAACTCTTCAGGTACCCATTATTCTTAGTTACAGCAGCAATGAAGGAAAATCTGACTGGTCTTAACAAAGCCAGAGAGAACAGATACATCAGACCTTGCAGGGTACATGAGTCATAGAAAACTTATTAGTATCGGCCTCATAAAGTTTGATAACTACAGGAGCTGAAGGTCCACATTCAAGTCAGTAGTTCAGGACCTCAGCATTAGATGGTTAGGCCCTCAATCTTCGGACTTTGATAAAGACTTAAAATGTTGATATCCACAAACCATATAAAGTCATATGTTTAAGATCAGAGAAAACATATAAAAGCCCTAAAGTCATCAAACTTGCTTTATTCAAATGTTTTCAGGACTTCTCTAAATTATACAATAAGGAAAAACAGAAGTTCCATGAACCGAATGATCTTCCTGAATTAGATATTGCAAAGAACGTCCCACACTTAGCAGGCCTTAGCTACTTAGACAATGCACAAGGTGTGAACCCAGTGGTAGCAAAATTATCTTACTGACTTTAAGAAAAGTGTGTAACAGCAGGTTCTAGATATAAACTCCTTCTCAGAGTTTATCAGAATGGTCAAGAATGATCCAAGCTTCTCTGTTGTCTTTGACATAAATGCTCCTAACTTCACAGCTGTGAGGCAGGAGAACCCAAGTATAAGGACTTTAAAGATGCTATCTCTGTCAGAAAGACAGGTATTACACCCCCTACAAGTGATTATAGGGATGAAAGGCATAAGGATCCAAATGCTACTGTCCCATCCATAAAAAACACATCCTGTCAGAAAATGTTATGCTTTTAGAGAAAAGCCCTTGAAAGAACACAAGGATTTTCTAAGGAGCCACAGCAGCATGCTTGTGTTGGTGTTGGCCTTACACCCAGGCTGCTTTAAACAGGACCCTGCACCCACTAATGGCAAGAAGAGCCATGAACAGGCATCTGCAACAGTTATGTCCAAGTGTAGTGAACTACTCCACAAAGGAGTTCGGGGCAAAAATGTGTCTTGTGAATGTGCTAAAATGTATGTTGTTTTAGATGACCTATGCAGTCATTTACTTACAACTTCAGATTTCTACAACTTGTTCTGCGTGAAAGGAAATGTATTGTCCTATACACTGCACATGTGTGCTGGCTTTTTTATTATTGCCTACTGACACTGAGGAAATCCCTATGCCAAAAGATGCACTTTCTGAACCTCACCCAAGCCATTTAGCTGACTGCATCCCACCACTTCCCAACAATGACAGAATTGTGATTCTGCTGGGTAAAAACATCCTGAGAGTACAAAAGGTACGTCAGTAGCACAATAGTTAGAATGGTGCTCCTTATGCCTAAATTACTGATTTGAGTTGAGTAATTATCAGAATCCACTGCAAATTCAAGCCTCCAGCCTCAAATGGTGTGCCCCAATAAAATTATAATACAGGGAAGTCAAGATTACTTTAGAGAACTGCTTTGTAAAAGCCCTGGTAACTACTGGTAATAGCGGAAAGCCTGAATCTTCTTCAGACAATCAGCTAACACCACTGACAGCCCAGTCAACGCGCCTGGTATCCAGTTAGCTAAGAAACTTGGCAGAATCGTCTGCCTCCATCCGCAGGCAAGAACATTTCTGTCTTTACAAGTAGAACTTCACCAGGAACTTGTTAAGAGGTTCCTTAAGCCAACTAGAGGGATTACGCCACCCTTGCCTACCGATTCCAGATGGGCAGTGACTGTGCTAGAGTGGTAGGTACCTCTCACCCCAGAATGTTGTCATTTGGCCTTCTGAATATAGAACAATGGTTTCAATATACTAGAGCATTCTCTCAAAGGACACTCTTCCTCGCCTGTAAAGTAATAGATTTGAGATGGATGGAATTTTGGAAAAATGTCTTAAATAATATCATATAAAAGATTTGTATATTAATAGGAAGTGCCCTAACACATTTAGCAAAGTATGAGGTGTATGGTGTGAGTTGTGCAATATATTAACCCTTGTTTGAGATAATTTACCCTAAATAGGTTCTCAACAACTTTCTTCTTGTACCACGTGATGTGTCAGGCAACCAATTTGCTGGCAGTTGTAGCCCCTTCTATTTGTAAACTGTTAAAAGGTGATTGGGTTTTTTCTGGTTTTACTTTTATTGTTGAAATATAAGATAAGGTATGAATATTGTGCTGGTATTGTATTTCGGCATACTTGTGTATAGCTCTACATCTATTTAGCTTTATTTTTCTTAAATACCAGTATAATTGCACAAGAAAACACATTTAAAAAAATCTAATGGGAAAGACTTCTTTAAGGATATAACAAGGGGAATTTTTATGTAATGTAACAGAGTAGTAAAGTCATCATTCAGAAGAGATTTTTACCTTTCACATTACATTATGTCACACACAGCTGAAAAGAATCTGTTTACGGGAATTATTAGTGTAGCATCAAGATCAAGTCATGTTCATGCAGATATAAATTTGTATGACAGCGCTGCTTTGGGGGTTTGCGAATTGTAAAGATACCTAGTGACAATGTGCACCGAGTAAGCACAAATGTCATGCAGGTGCTCAGTGTATTAGGAGCTAAGATTTTGTATTCTTATTAATGCATTTATTTATTTATTTGTGTAGTAGGGAGTTGCTCTTCATGAGGGTGCTGAATCAAGTAAAGTGGACAAGGGATTCTGATTTTACAAGCCTATTTGGGGCCCATGACAGATAGCCAGCCAAGTAGCCAGAAAGAGTTCAGCAGTGGCAGCCTATATTTTTTTTTTTAGGAAAGTATTTAAACACTGAATGAACCTGAATCGCATAACAGTTAACCATCTGATTTAAAGCCAGCACTGTACAGCCTTCACAAGGAAAACCTCTAACCGGCTCCTCTTAACACTGCACATTTGTGCCGCAGCCCCAGTCATACCTATGGAACAGCTGTACTTATGGAAGCCTCCAGCATTTGTTTGCAGTATGGCCATCCTATAGACTAAAGGTAAATATGTAATTGGGTGGGTTATATTCAGGGGGGTGGGGTAATTAAACTCACTGGAAAGATCTGGACTCACTTTTTATCATTTTGACACCAAGTCAAGGGATGAGGAAAATGGGGATAACTGGGGACAGAAAGACATAGGCATGAATAAAAAAAAAGAAATCTGTCATAGAATCTAACTTTTCCTCACTCTATTAAAATAGTATTTTTTTCTTTTTTTGCTGTCTATTTCCCGTTGGAGATATTTATAAATAATGATCTGCCCTTCTGATCAGGGCAGGAAGTAAAGGGAAAGTCACAGGCTGCAATTTGAAATCTAACAAAAATGGTATTTCACACTTTATCCAAAACTAAAATAGGAAAGCTATAGCTGGAGTTGAGCTTTAATACATTTGCAAAGAAAAATGTATATTCCAGACATTTCCTTACCCTCTACTGGAGCACACCAGTACCTCTGCACAAGGACAATACATCAGAGCAGCACCATAATCTTCACCATAGGTGATCACACTTAGCAGGCGTCTGGTCTGACTGTGGCACTGCTGTCCTTCAGATGGAAGAGGAATGCACACCGGGAATGGATATGCTGTCAATAGGTAAAGAAGATTTAATGCAAAGTTGACTTGTAGCTTTTTTTGACTTGTAGCTGTTTTGTAGACCTAACACACGTCCTAAAAACGTTGTTCACAGAGAAGGCTGGAAACAATGGTAACTGATAACAGTCAGCTTTTCTGGCTCAATAGGTATATTTTGCATTTTTAAACAGATAGAACACAACACTTTTAATTTTATATTTGAGAGCAGATAAGAGAAGAGATAACTGAAGGACTCTACATGAGGGTTTGTTAGGGGAGGAGTCCATAACAAAAGCTCACTAAGCTGAAAAAGGATTAAATAACTATATATTATTTTTTCCTTCACTTCCTGTCCGGCAGACAAAACAGGAAGTTAGAAGAAATCTCAGTGAGTGAAATGCCCTCTTAGCCCGTACCCCTATTGGATGATTTAAAAAAAAAGGCAAACAAATAGAAACGCATGTAGTAGAGGGTAAAAACAGAAAGGGTCAGGAAATCTCAAAAGACATTCAACATAACAGTAAAAGGGTAAAAGGAATACCAATGTAGAAGAGGTATAAACAATAGATACTAAATAGCCTAGGACACCAAAATAAAGGTTCATGGATGCAAAATATATACAAACAGAAAAAGCAGGGAGAAAGAAGCCAAATAAGGGAAAGTAAAAAGAATGGAGAACAGAAAAGAAAGAAGAAAACCAAAAGGAAAGAGACAAAAACAAGCTTCCATGCATGCATTGTGCTGTAGCTTCATACTGGAGTGTAGATGTAGAGCTAACTGCGCATGCGCCCGCCCCAAGATCCTTTGCGGCCGCACGAACAGCTCCGGACTCTCGCCGCGGAGCGTGCAGCGATAATGAGGTCAGTCTAAACCGCTGTTTAAGCGTTTTTCATTTGTTTTGTTTTAAACTTTGTGTCTATATCTACTGCTTGTCTGCAGTAGATATAGGCAAAAAAACGGGAGGCTTTAGAACCCCTTTAAGATCTACTTTTCAAATGACAGTGCTACATGAGATCTACCAACGAAATCTCTCCTGGCTGTCTCTCCTTGCTCTCCTGGCTGTCTCTCCTTGCTCATCCTCCTGGCTGTCATTCCTCATTTTTTCTCTTGGCTGTCTCTCCTCGCTCTGTCTCTCCTGGCTGTCATTCCTCGTTTTTTCTCCTGGCTGTCTCTCTTCGCTCTCTCTCCCCTGGCTGTCTTTCCTCGCTCTCCTGTCTGTCTCTCCCCGCTCTCTCTCCTGGCTCACCTTGCTGTATTTTGCAACAGGCTGTGTAAACTAATATTCTTGATGTAATACATAGCACTTCAACCACCAGTATCCACCAGAAAGGTGTCAGGGAGCTTGGCTCAGCAGACTCAGGCTAATAGGTAATCATGTGTGCACAGCTAAATAAATATACCAAAATGGAAAAAAAGGGGCCACCATTCACACCCTTCGTGATCTAACAGCATCAGCTTTGAGATCTACTGGTAGATCACGATCTACCTAATGGGCACCCCTGATGCAGAGTGTGCATACAACTGTGTTCAATGTATAGGAAAAAGAGGAAGTTGTTGAACTCTAGGACAAATGGATGATGTCAACGGAAATGACACGCTCATGAAGATTCATCGCCCACTAATCCAGCCAGCAGGGATGATATTTGCTCAGCAAGTAAAGAACTGTTAAAAAACTTTTAAAAAGCAGAACATTTTTATGTTTTGCAAAGATTTATCCACATGCATTTTATTTTCAGTGCGCACAGTTAATTTTGCATTGTTTACCTTACATCGACTCTTAATTTGAGTACTTAAAATAAGGGTACCTGTAAAGAATACTGCAAATAGTTGCCTTCCAACCTGTGCCAACAAAAGCCACTTCGATCAAGAGAAATCACTGTCTGCAGTCATTTACAAAACGGACACTTCCACCTCAGTGGTTCCTCCTACCTACACCCACATCACTACAGAACGCAGTAGTGGCATGAAGGTCAGTGGGGGTAACTACTGAGTACTACAGGGCACACAGAAGATTGACACTCTTGGGAAGTGACAGTTTGTGGAACAGATTTCAGCTGGAAAATGCTCTAAGTATGGGAGGAGGTAAGGGGAGGGAGCGAGCAATTAAGGGAAGTATTTACAGTGTTCTTCCAGGTACTTTTATTGTAAATATTCATATTAGCAACAGAGTCACATTAAAGTAATTGTGATGTGATTTTTAAATAGTTTAATACCTAATCTTCAAAATTTTTGTGTAATATATGTAGAAATTTGTAGCCTAAAAGGTAGACAAAAGGTGTACCCATTGGAAGATTTGCCCTTGGCTCCTGTTCTGTTCTCAAAATTTTGGTACCCACAACACAGGTCACCACTGGCGTGCGCACAGGGTGTGTCTAGGTGCACTCTAATCACCCTAAGTGCAGCATCGAAACCACAACAGCAGGTACCGTGTTTTTAGTCACGGGGCGGTGAAGAGATCACAAAGATTGATCTGTGACCGGCTCAGCGATACAGAGCGCAGCAGCACTTGCCACTTCCATTCCTCATATAACAGCCTGCAGTCCTCGTTGCCTGGGAAGCTGTGAGGGAGCGTGGCTGTTTCCCATGCTTTCCATCCAATCTGGAAGCCGGGGGTGGTGGTCATATGACCACCTGCCAGACTCCGTGCTTCATTACTGCACCCCTGCTGAAAGAGGTGAGGGGCATTTGAAGAGATGGGAATCCGGAATGCCTCAGGTATGCAAGTATGTGTATGATGCAATAATGCAATAGGCTGTGCACGTCTATGATGGTCACCAGGATAAATAGAGAAAGGATATTTTCCCAGCTGGGACACAAAAGAACGATGAAAAGCTGACAGGTTTGGTAAGCCTACTAAAAAAATGATTGGCTTTAGATACACTTTAATCACAAGAGGCAGGGTCAGTTAACTACTACAAAACCGCAAACGTTTTAGGTCAGTTTAATTTGATAAAAATTAGCAGATTTGCACTAGCATATCCAAATAGCACTATGTGGGCGGTTCCCCCTCTATGATCTCCAAGAATTGTAATTAAGAGCAGTGAATCTCTATACCCACAAGATTCTACTGTAAACTTAAAAAAATGGATGGGATTTAAAAGGATCTACATATAATTTCTATGTCACTGGACCCCCCTCAAGTACTCAAATAAAGAATTGTGACTTATTGAATTATTGCATACTTGTTCTGAATAGTAAAGTATTTACGCTAGAGGGTAAGCATAACAGTAATTTAACTAGTCTTTTAAGAAGATCAGCAAAGGTAGCCCCATATTCTCTCATAAAACAGCTGAAGACAAGGCACTGAATTTAACTCATCAGTTGGTCAGTCAGATTAAGACAGGGTGCAGTGGCTCCGGTGAGGCTGACCTCAACAAAAAATAGGTACCCCTTCAGGAGTCTTTTAATATTGGTATTTATTCATACACAAGAAAACATTAAACAACTAATACATTTTGGAAGCCCAAATATCTACTCCTTTATATGGGCTTAGGTGTTATAATTAGTTGGCAGAACTTAGAAATGATAGACTTTCTACATCATATTCTCATGACCGATTACCTTAAAAACCAGATATGGTAAAGAAGTGGATAGACTGATGCAAGCTCATTTCTGAAAAATGGGGTTGCAAATTGATCTTTGTGAAATGGGTAGTCTATGATCAGTTTCTGCCAGTGGCAGAACTACAGCCGGTCCATCACCGACCCACGCTAAATGAAGCCGCCGGTGCTGTGGCTCCCTCCCTCCGCCGCCTCTCTGCCACTTGCACTGCATCAGATGCAGCTCTGTACTCAGCGGCTGCTCGCTCCTCAAGCGATCTTCGGGAGGCCCCCGCGGGCGGCCCTTTACAGTGCCTGATTAGAGGGCCGCATCTGCCTGATCCAGCAGTCCGAGGACCCCCTGGAGGAGCGAGCGGCCGCACAATTACAGAGCCGCATAGGTTGCAGGCAGGCTGGCCGGCCGGGTGCATGTGGCAGAGAGGCAGCGGAGGGAGGGAGCCACTGCAGCAGAGGCCACAGCAGACCATCCCCAAACAACCAGGGTCCAGGGAGCCCCCACTGACCACCAGGGTAAGGTAAGGCAGTGGCGTCAAAAGGGGGCTGTGGCCCACACCCGGGTGACACCAAAATAACTGACTGTCATTTTGGTGTCACCCCCCTCTGAAAAGTCAGGCTATTTTTTATTTTTTTTATTTTATGTTCCCGGGGATATCATTTGTCTGGGGACGGTCTCCTCAATCCGGGGACTGTCCCCAGAAATCGGGGATGAATGTAGAGCTGCAACAGCTAATCGACTAAGTCGATTATAATCGATGATTGAAAAAGTTGTTGCCAAGTTTTCAATTATCGGCTTTCGATTAGTTGGCCCTGTTCACAGCTCCACACACGCCGCGTGCCGCACCTCCTCCCCGCCTCATGCTTGCCGCTGCTAGACACGCCCGCCTGCATTCACTGCCCACATGCCGCACCTCCTCCCCGTCTCACGCTTGCAGCGGCTACACCCGCCCACCTGCATCCACGCTCCACACGCCGCACCTCCTCCCCGCTTCACGCTCACCGCCCGCCCACATCCACGATCAGCACAGAGACGCGGGGAGGAGCAGGTGTGGGGGGATGACAGCTGCCGACAGACAGGCCCGATCTCAGAAGCAAGTTGCTGGAAGACTGCTCAGGTAAGCCTGCACTCCCCCCCCCACATGGTGCTCTATAATGTATTGCTGGGATATGTATTCCTCTATAGCTGATGGTACATTGTGCTGTATATTATACATAGCGAAACAAATCCCAGCAATACATTATGTATAAGGTACTATTGCTGGGATTTGATGTGCTCCTCTATAGCTGGTGGTATTCTGCATTGCGCTGTATAGAGGACTACAAATCCCAGCAATATATTATACAGCGCAATGCAGAATACCGCCAGCTATAATGTACTCTTGCTGGGATTTGTTGTACTCCTCTATACCTGGTGGTATTCTGTATTGCGCTGTATTATTCTGTATTCTGTATACTGTTACTATATAACAGTATACAGAATACAGAATATATATACTACTAATATAATACTATTGTGTCCTAGGCTATAATACTATTATTCGGTATTCTGTATACTGTATTATTGCTGGGATTTGTAGTCCTCTATAACCGGTGCCATTCTGCATTGATTGCTGTATAATTTTACACTTTCCATTTCACTATATTACGATGCATCCCTGCTTTCTTTCCTCCCCGTTGGGTGCAGCTCTGTGTCTCAGCGGGGTGGAGAGAAAGTGTGACAACCGGGCCAAGCGCTGCAGGAGGAGAGCAATATGATTTGTTTGTGGTTGCTTCAGGGGGTGTGGATTGGGGGTTTGTGTTTTTGTTTTTGGGGGGGGGGCAAAAAAAATCTTGCACCAGGACCCTTTGTTCCTTAGGTCCGCCACTGGTTTCTGCATTCTAGTTTCACTCTTCAGACAGACATACATCCATACATCTCATTATTATATAAATTCACATACTTCGTGCTAGTTTCACTCTTCAGACAGACATACATCCATACATCTCATTATTATATAAATTCACATACTTTGTGTTATGGAGCAGCAGAACCCTGGGGCACAATGTTCTTCTGAAGAATCACATCTTATTCTGGCAGTGCTGGAGATGAGGTCTTTGGTACATTTGCCTGCAGAACACGTCTTCCCAGAGCAACACTCTTCATCTTGTTGACAGTCCTGTTTTGAATGACACATAGGACCATCAAGTGACATTTTTTTTTTATTCTTTATATGATCTCAAACAAGCAAGACAAACAACTATCATACATGAACAGAGCAATATACAATCTCAGGATGACACATCTGACAACTGTTTGTTGATAAAGCCTTATTGGCGCAAGAAAGGTAACATCGCAATACAAATTATGCAGGTGTCAGAGTCCCACCTCAAGAACGAGTTGTTATCTCGCCCCTCGAGATCCAACTTTTCTCATTTGGGATACTTCCATATAACACGGACATACACAAAAAAACAAAAAAGAGAAAAACCGTCAGGACAATAGAAACATACAGTAGACAGAACTCAGAGAGAGGAGCAGTTCAGGAGACCCCTGCAGAGGCCCCAGCAGCCCGACAAGAGTCACAGAGAGGCAGAGAAGTGAAAAAAAGCACAGAAAAGCACAAAAAAGAGGAGTGTCGGCAGAGTAGAGTCCCCACCCCCTCAATCATCAGGTACTTGAGTGGCCAATTCATATTCCTGGGAAAGGGTGTGCTCATGACTGTAGAACCATGTGCGATTACATTTTCTTTCTCGATTATACAAAGATGCAGTGAGGTTCTCCATCCGCTCCACCTCTGCTCCGCTTACCAATCTTAGGAGTGGGTGCAGTAGGTTGTTTCCAAAGGGCCGGAATGCACAACTTTGCAGCATTCAGCAAGTGTATTAAAAGTGAAGTCTTGTAACGCTTCCTAGAGAGGCCTGAGACATGTAGGTTACAGGCAGCCGGGTTGTCATGAATATCCACTCCCGTAAGCTGTTTGATATGATTCCCTACCTTTGTTCCGAAGTGGCGAATCCTCTGGCACGCCCAGAAGATATATAGTAGGTCTCCTGTCTCCTCGCCACATCTCCAGCAACTCTTAGAGCACTCAGGAAACATATTGTGTAAAACGATAGGCACCCTGTACCAGCGGGAGAGAATCTTGTAGTTATTTTCCTGAATTCTACTGGAGATGGAGGCACTGTGAGTAAAGTACACTGCGTCGCTTTTTTGCTCGGGCGTTAGAGTAAGATTCAGATCACATTCCCACTTGTCAATACAGGGGGAAAAAAAGTTTTCCTCTGGTTAGATTAAGGCCTTATACATCATGGAGAGAGAATGGCGCACCGGACCCTCCTGGAGACAAAGGTGGTCCAAACCATGTTAGAGGAATCGGGGGCCACACCTTAGGCACCCGGGATTTCAGAAAATGGAGGAGTTGGCGCAACCTCTAATCATCTAGCTGGGGGACTACCATAGAGCGTAAGACTGAAGCTTCCTTTAGTTTACCGTTCGACACAAAGTCACCCAGATGGAATTTGTCCTGTTTAAGCCATTCTGCATTGCAGGCATCAATCCGCCCAGGCCCAAAGTCCGGGTGACCCACCACTGGAGACATCAAAGAAGGCCCTTGACCTGGACCCGAGGCCCCAGCAAATCCCGCAAACACCTTCAACGAGGGACCAATCAAAGGATGGCTCCGCAATAACTTACCATGCGAGGACTCCAACCAGGGAGTTCCTCCCAGTGGCAGCCCTGAAGAAGCTTGCTCCAGAGCTATCCATTGCTTGGACTCGCGATTCCTGCATCATTCCAGGATTCTGGCCAAATGGGACGCCTTGTAGTAAAGGATAGGATCTGGAAACTCCATTCCACCAAGAGCCTTGGGGATAACAAGTAGTTTGTGTGACAATTGAGGAGGAGAGCGAGCCCAGATAAAGCAAAGAAACTCCCGGTGTATTTCCTTGAGAAATGAAGATGGTATAAAGTGTCTGAAGTACGTACAGTATCCTAGGGAGACGTTCATCTTGAGCACAGCATTCCTGCCAAACCAAGAGTGGGTGAGATTATGCCATTTTAGAGATACAACCTCACTCTGGTCAACAAGGGTTTGAAATTCGCTGCAAAGAGCCCAGAGACGTCCGGCATAATCAGGGTATCTAGGTATGAAATATATTCTTCCGACCATTTAAAAGGGAAAGTCCCCCTCAGGCCTGGAATCGTATGTGGAGGTAGAGAGATGTTGAAAGCCTCCGATTTGTGAAAGTTTATTTGAAAGTTTGAGAGTTCTCCAAAGAGAGCGAATTCCTGGAGGAGATTCGGGAAAGTCATCGCGGGGGATGAAACAAAAAACAGAAGATTATCTGCGAACGCTGCCACCTTCTGATGGTCGTTCCCCACCCTAAGACTTTGGATGTTGGGATTCGCCCTGAGTTTACGTAGGAGAGGTTCTAGGGTCAGGATGAATATCAAAGGCGACAGTGTACACCCCTGTCTCGTCCCATTGGTTAGATGAAAGAAGGGGGATAGAGCTTCATTGACACGAATCGCTGCCGTCGGAGAGGAGCCCAGATGATGGAAAGTAGTCTTCAGAAAAGTAAGAAACAAAATAGGGAGCCAGAAGCGGGGCATACGTTTTGTAGTATGCGGCTATGTAGCCATCCGGACTTGGAGACTTAGCTGGTTTGATAGATTTTGCTACCTGTGTGAATTCATCAACTGTTAGTGGTGTCTCTAAGGCAGACACATCTGCAGCACCAAGTCTAGGGAGACCAGACTCAGTCAGATATGACTCTATGGAGCACTGTCTAGCTTTCGAGTCAGAGCTATTGGCCCTATCAGGCAAATTGTACAGAGCCTCATAATAATCACGGAAACACTCTGCTATATCGGAAGACTTGACCGCCTTACCACCCCCCCTCCCGTATTATACACCGAATATTGGGTGTGTGCACTAATCGGGTCTTTTCTGCCCGTGCGTGCCAGCTAGGGGGCGCGCGCGAGCAGAAAAAAATTGCCGTCTGGAGACGGCAACCCGCAGATGCTGCAGTGCCGTCCGTCCGTTTTTCTACTACGGGCGGACGGCAAGAGGTTAAGGAATCCTCCCTCAGTGATCTAGCAAGGGCCTTCTCAGGTGTGTTCCCAAATTCGTAAAAAGAACGATGACCCCATGCTAGTTGTGCCTTGGTCTTATATAGGAGCAAAGCAGAAAGCTCTGTACGCAGTATCCGAAGTTCAGATGCATGCGTTTGAGCCAGAGACCGTTTGTGCAGTGTCTCCAGGCTTGAGATTTGGGTAAGTAGTTGAGTAGTGCGTGCAAGTCTGGAACGTTTAAGATAGGAGCCTCTCTCTGAATAAGGAGGTACCTAGTCACACATTTATGGGCTTCCCAAACCATAATTAGAGAGGTTGTGGATCCCTGATTTGCATTAAAGTAGTCTCCAATAGCATCCTGGAGTTCTGATTGGAAGGATCTATCCTGTAGGAGGAAGTCATTAAGCCTCCATCTCCGAGCCCGAGAAGAGGGCGAACCCAAATGAAGGAGAAGGGTGATAGGTGCATGGTCGGAAACTCTTCGATAGAAGATGCTACCACCCAGGGAAGAGCATCATGGGATATCATGAAATAATCTATTTGCGAATAAGATTGATGAGGGGTGGAAAAGAAGGTATAGTCCTTATCAGACGGATGTTGCAGTCTACAGATGTCCACTAAACGCATTGACTGTAGGGCCCTTTTGATCCCTTTGAGTGCGGGAAAATAGAGGCTTTGCATGCATTCTGGAGGCATCTACAAGGGGATCTAGACACAGGTTCAAATCGCCACCCAGGATTAGCACCCCCTCCTGAAATTCCCTAAGAGTGGAAAGGCAATTTTCCTGAAACACTAGCTGGCCCTGGTTGGGACAGTATATCGTGGCCAGTGTCACCCGTCTACCATTCAAGTCTGTAGTCAAAAACAGGAAACGACCCTCTGGGTCAACATGTTGTGCCTTTAGCGACCACTGAACTGACCTCAACATCACGCGGCTAACTCCCTTTATTTTAGAGTGCGTGGTGGAGCTATGGTTCCCCACTGGAAAGCGAAAGTTTGACAACCTCGGGAAATTAGATGTCTGAAAGTGGGTCTCTTGTAGAAACGCCACATCAGTTCTGAGTCGCCACAATTCGTTCAGGACACTCATTCTCTTCTCAGGGGAGTTTAAGCCCTTAACATTGAGGGAAACCAAGTGAACCTCAGACATCTTCAAAGGGTAAGCAGGGGGACACCACACTCCACAAGAGAGGGAGAGAGGGGGAGAGAGGCAGAGGAGGTGGTGGGTGGCAGAGAAATGTGTGACATTACAAATCTGCCTCATGCACACAAGAACAGCCTGCTTGTTGCACAACATTCTAACTTGCATTATTACACAGTGACACTAACCTGCTAGGTAACGTAACTACCTCCGTGCCGGCCGTAGTAAAAAAACGGCCGGCCGGGAGCTCTCTAGATCTGAGCGGGCGTCTTTAGACGTCCGCTCAGACACGCCCCCTTGCGCGAGCGGGAAATGGCCGATATTTAAAAACAGGCAGCGATGCCTGTTAACATACAAGCGATCGCTTGTATGTTGCAACGATCGGTGCACCCCCTCCGCTGCCCCCCCCGCCGTTGTCCCTCTCTGCTTCATCAGCTTCTTTTGGGGGATCCTAGGTGACATTAGGGGTCTTGGAGACCCCTGATGTCTCCATAAAGAGGACCTGTCACATATTTTGCTATCACATAGGGGGCTTTTATTAGCCCCCGTATGTGATAACAATAAAGTTTAGTGAAAAAAAGTTAAGTTAAGTTAAGTTACACATAAAAAAAATTTAAAAAAATGTTTTTAAAGTCCCCACCCATACATACACGCATGCAAACATGCGTCGGGGACACATACGTGCAAAAAAAGACGATTACGCCACACATGTTACATATCGCCGCGAACGTCGGAGTGAGAGCAATAATTCTAGGGCCATCAATCACTGATAACACTAAACTGATGAGCGGTAAAAGCTTTTAAAGTGTCGTCTAAGGCCCATTTTGGGTATGGTAGTTTTCTGCGATGTCGCGGGTGCGTGCAATTTTAAAGCTTTTTTTTTTAAATATTCAATTTTTATTAATTTTATGGAAATCACAAAATAAAATCATTGACACACTGTATTACATGATTATACGTCCAGGTACATCTTAATGAGTTAAACATTATTATTTTCACAGCATTTCCATTTCATGTCTATTGTAAAACTATTTACCCATGTACCTTCTATCTATCAACCAATTAAATTGTAGCCAAACAAACCAAAAAAAAACAAAAAATTATAAATTTATAGAATAGAAAAAGAGAGTAAGAAAATAAGAAGAAACCCACCACTCCCTGGGGAGAAAGACCAAATATAAGGGAAATCCGGCAACCCTTTCAAGATTCTTCGTTAAAATATTGTACTAGAACATATCAAAACAACCATGTGTATTATCCCAACCCCTATGATCATCCGTTAATCAACCATTTATATTACTATATTTTAGACATGTGCGATTCGTTTCGTTCCGAATCGAAATTCGGACGAATTTTCGGAAATTCGGACATTCGGATGTATCCGAATTCTGAATTACAGAGATAACGAATGCAAACGAATCCGAATTTCCATTTCCGAAATTCGGTAGCGGTAGTTCGAACGTTCGTTTCGTTTTCTTTTCTTATTCGTTTCCTTTTCGTTTCGTTCGTTGGAGCAAAGTGACATTAGAGAAGGAGAAAAACATTTTTTCCCCCTCAAATGTCACTTTGCTGTAAACGAACGAACGAAACGAATAAGAAACGAATAAGAACCGACAACGAAATGAACGTTCGAACTATCGCTACCGAATTTCGTCCGAATTCCGAATCCAAATTGACTTTCACACCCGAATCCCGAAAAACGAAATAACACAAATCCGAATTTAAAACGAAACGAAACAAATTTTTTGGCAGTGCACATGTCCACTATATTTCTCTTCTATCCTATATCCTCTGTGTATCCGGGGGAATTTTTTAAATTGTTCCATTGTTGCCAAGTACTTTCAAATTGTTTAAAAGTATCTCTCCGTATTGATGTCATTTCTTCCATCAGTCGGTAATATTCTATTCTATTATACCACTCTTTCATAGTTGGGGTAGTATTTTTATTCCAATGTAGTGGTATCAGCATTTTGGCAGCATTAAGTAACGGACACAACAGCGATCTTTTATAGACCGAAGTCGGCAAGTCCATAAAATGAAAGAGGCATACCATCGGGTCCAAGGGTAATGCAATTGTTGTAATCTCTTCAATCACTTCCACTACCCGGGACCAGAAGGGCTGAAGTTTGGGACAGGACCACCACATATGAACATAAGTTCCAATATTACCACAATTCCTCCAACATAACTCTGTGTTTGATGGATACATTTTATGTATATGTTCAGGTGTGTAATACCATCATGCTAAAAAATGAAACATTGTGTCAGTCACTAGGGCACTTGGAGACGAGAATGTATTAAGACTTAAGATTCTTTGGGGTCTATTCACTAAGCTGCCGAGGGCAGCCGAGT